ATTTTCTGCTCCTTGGTCACAAGCTTCTTCTAACCTCAAGACAGTTGCATTTGCAGTTTCCTTTATTTAAAAATAATCTCTTCCATCAATAAAACAAATAAAACACATCCTACCTAATAAGAGTAATATGCAAATTAACCATTACTCCACTCTACAAGCCACACCCACAAGCTACGCCCACAAGTCAATCAGAGCGAGTATGCAAATCAACCCAACCAAGATGGCTATAGCCACAGAGAGCAGGAGGGAGGTGTTTCCCCAGCAACGGAGGAAGCCAATTTCCACCTGCCCTTGCCAGCCTAAGCCTCCACTCAAGGCTACACAGTTTCAATTATAGAAGTTAAACAAATCCAAAGAGAAATGGTTGCCACCACTGAGCAAGCTGAAGGCTTGGCTTCGCTCCAGGTTACAAAGTTTCAATTGTAGAAAATAAATATATCCCAGATACCAGGGCCTCTGCTTGAGTCTTTGCTGGCCTGCAAACCACCACAACCCCCTCACTCAGGCCATCCCACACCACAAGGGAACCCCCACCCTGATCCAGGACACCTTCAGAGCAAACCAGGTGGCCCCCACCAGTGCACCAGGCCTCTATCCTATCTAATAAAAGAGTAATATGCAGATTGACCATCACTCCAACACACAATATGGCTTCCCCCATGTGGTCAAAGATTCTGCCCCTATGTCGACACAAGATGGCCAGCAGGAGAGGATAGTTGGGAGGCATCAGGCCTGTAAGGGAGGGTAGTTGAAGATGATCAACCCTGCAGGGGAGGGCAGTTAGGGGTGACCAGGCTGGCAGAGGAGGGAAGTTGGGGGCAAACGGGCTGGCAGGGGAGCAGTTAGAAATCAATTAAGCTGGCATGGGAGTGGTTAGGGGGTGATGAAGCTGACAGGCAGAAGCAGTTAGGGACAATCAGGAAGGCAGTCCTGGATTGTGAGAGGGATGTCCGACTGCCCGTTTAGTCGGACAGTGGGACATCCCTCAAGAGGTCCCAGATTAGAGAGGGTGCAGGCTGGGCTGAGGGAAAACCCCCTCCCCTGCCCCTGTGCACAAATTTTGTGAGTTTTACATATTTAGCAATGTTTATCACTCATTATGGGCTTAACAAATACTACTTAATGTTATTGTTGCTGCAGTGTTAAATATGTATAAAACTGCTAGATACCAGAATGGGCATAAGTGTTTACTTGAACTTAAAAGAGCATGGTTTTAATAATGTGTCAATTTAACTAATATAGAAATATTTCATCTGGGTCTGTTGTTATTCATCTTTGGTGCATTTCTACAGTTAATGCTGTCCTTTGTATGCCTGTATTTTTTAAAAGAAGTGCTATGGTCTTCGTTAAGTGCTAAGTGCTGCGTTACTGAGTGGTTAAGCATCAATCTATAAGAACCGTGAGATCACCTGATCCGATTCCAGGTCAGGGCACACGCCGGGGTGGTGGGCTTGATCCCCAGTGTGGGGAGTGCAAGAGGCAGCCAATCAATGATGCCCTCTCATCATTGATGTTTCCATCTCTACCTTCCTCTCTGAAATAATTTTTTAAAAATATTAAAAAAAAAAAAGAAGTGCTATGGTTTGGGGGTTTCTTATTCATTTTAAGTTGAAATATATTCCAAGATTGCACAAAAAGGGGAAATAATAACTATACAAAGTCTGATAAATCAGTGTCTTGTTTTATCACAATGACATTTTGAAATAACATATATATGAATTAAAAAATAAAATAAACAGTTAAACAAACAAACAAACAAAAAACAGTCATCTTGGGACCTTCCTGACCACTGTCTAATCAGGGATTCCTTCATTCTCTCTCACCATTTCACCTTATGCCTGTCACAGCACTTAACACGTTTTATAATTATGATTGTTTCCTAGTTAAATGTTTGTCTCTCCCACTAAACTGTGAGCTTGACAATGGCTTTTGAATCTTGCCTGTTGGGTTCACTATTATGTCCCAGTGCGGTCAGTGAGCAGGCATAGTAGGATTCTGTAACAGAGGCCCTCAAACACACAGCACGAGTAGCATAGTTTATTTCTCCCACAGGTGATAGAGTGGGTAGATGGCCCAAATTGGCATGCTGGTTTGAAGTGTTCTCTAGAATACCTTCCTCCTCAGCCATAACAGACATCACTTAAAAAAAAACCCTCTTACTCAGAGCAATCCTATTCTTTTTGGCTTCAGCCCCCTGATCCAGCTTGCCTCAAACTCTTGTTCTCCCAACAAAAGGCTCATCTGTGCCTTCCCAAACAACCCAGCAGGTTCTTAGAGATAAGGTTTATCTCTCACAATGACTCAGAACCACTGTATGCATTTTCTTGCTTATGGTTGTTACGAAATATCACTTTATAACTATAAACTATAGTGGCTATAGTTTACATCTGTCCACATCCCTCACCTTTGGGCAAATTACTTCTGTAATATGGGCATAATCATAGTTTGCTTCCTAGGGTTGCTATAAGAATTAAATGAGCAAAAAGCTTTTAGAATTGAACCTAAAACCTGTGTTAACAAAAAAACAAAACAAAAATATTGAAACCTGTAAAGAATTTTAGTGAGTTTATTTGAGCCAAACTGTCGACATATGCAGGGAAGCAGAACCTCAATGGATTGAGATAATGCTCCGAAGAATGGCAGATTACATTTCTATTTATACATTGCAATCAAAGGAGGGACATAGGTAGGTTACATGAAATTCATTGGTGATGGATTAAAGAGGTGGGATAAAGCAAAGTGGTGGGAAACACCTAGGACTAGATAAAAAGTAAAATGATGGACAGGTACTTAGGTGAGTGCAGGAACAATTAACATGATAAAGAAGGAATTTGAGGCATCTGTCCTGGTGCCCACCACATTTGGTTGTGCCCCAGGAGCTCCAGAAAAAGGGAAGTTACAAATTAACCAGACATCTCACAGATATATTATTTTAGAGGCAAAAAGGCAAATGGGCTCAGTAAAGAAGATCTAAGTTGATCTTTGTCAGGTAAAATATCGGTCTAGGACATGACTACCCACTATTACCTATTTATAGTTTAAATATTTAATTTTCAAACCATCTTTTGTGGTTATTTTAGGTCTCTGAGTTTGCAAGACTGCCACACAGGCCTCCCCTGAGCTTGTCAGGTTAGCATGTGGCTCCTTTCATTCACCTGCAATGTGCTCTGTAAATAATCATCAGCATTCCTATCTCTTTTGATTCTGTTAACTTCCTCAGGAGGTAGACGGGCAGGCATTATTTTGTTGTACCGTGATTCCATGATCCCCAAAGACCACCTGGGAGCCAAGTTCAATGCAATTCACAAGAGAGCCTCTTCCATGTTAACATGGGCTCTGTCCCACTCACATGGACCGCGTGGGGGACAGGAGCTTAAACTTCTCCAAGCCCAGGGATTTTACACCCATAGTGATGTCACTGCTTTGGATGACCTTGATTGGTTGGGTGAAGACTAGGGTCCAGTTACACAAAATGGAGGATAGCTCCGCCCTACCCTACAGTGGAGTCAGGGTTCTAGTCAGGAGGTCCCCTCACCCTGCCCTGCTCTCTCAATCTCATTTACAGATGCAGAAATGAAGGACCAGAGACCTAAAGAAGTTGGCCAAGGCCACTGGGCTGGTAGGTACCCTGTTTCCCTGAAAATAAGACAGTATCTTATATTAATTTTTCTCCCAAAGTTGCGCTAGGTCTTATTTTCAGGGGATGTCTTATCTTTCCATGCGCTAGGTCTTATTTTCGGAGGATGTCTTATTTTTGAGGAAACACGGGTAGTAGAGAATGGGTTTAATTCAGACCTGAACCTCCGTTACCTTATGATAAAATTGAGGTGTGATGGCAGCACCTCATAGGATTAGGTTGTGAGAATTCAGTGCCATTATGCAATCAAGTGACAAGCACATGGAGGGCACTGGTCAAATGTCTGTGCCCTTCTCCTACATGATGCCCCACCCTGTCACCCGAGCCTCATGGAGCCACCAGGGATCCCAACTCCTGGCAGCCCTGGGGTCAGCAGCTGGGCCCACAGAGAGGCCCATTGTCTCTGTCCTTTGGGGCTCTATTGTTGAGGCCGCCTCGGAAGGTCCAGCCCAAGACGGTCAGCTGCCCCTGGGGGTAGTTTTGGCTTTCCGGGTTGGGGGAATATTGAGGGACTGCACCTTGAGTTCTGGGTTATGTCGAAGAAGAATGGAGGCTCAAAGAGCCTAAGGCTTGTGTGGGGAGTGCCAGCTGCCCAAGACCGGGCTGGGGCTTCATCCGGCGTGGGGAGCGCGTGACTTCAGGTCAGAGGCAGGGTCCGCTCCCGCGCACACGACCTCCCGCTGCCCCGTTACTCGCGGAAGCAGAGACCCCAGCGCGCGGACGTAGCCCAAGGTCACACAGGCACTCGGGCCAGCTCCGCCCGCAGTCCCGCCAGCGCGTGGAGGCGGGGCTCAGCCGGCGAGGCCGCACGGCGCCTCCCTGGCGGGGCGAGGCCGGGTGTTCCAAGTCCCCAAGGTAATGAGCCCCCCATGGGCCTGGCCAGTCCCCAGGCCTGTCTGAGGAAGGTGGCCATCGGTGCTGCCGGGCATCGGGGGCGCGGCCTCCCTCCCGCCGGGCCGGAGCGTGGGACTCCGACCATCTGTGACGCGGCGGCAGCGCGGGCAGAGCCCGCGGGACTCCGCCCCGATGGAGGCGGCGAGGCCGGGGGCGTGTCCTGGGCGGGACCTTCCCCGCCCCGCCGGGTCCTGGAGCGGCGTCAGCGCTGGGAGGGCCCGGCTGCGGGATGTGAGTGCGGCGGGGGGCGCGTGGCGGGGCGCCAATCCCGGTCCCCTAGGTTCCCGGGGGTCGCCATGGGCTGGAGCACAAGTGCTCGGGCGGCCGAGCGGGCCGACCAGGTGCGGGCCCAGGTATGGCGAGTGAGGGGACGCTGGGGCCGGATGTGCCCAAGCAGGCCCCGCGCCGCGCCCGCCCAAGCCGTCTCTCTGCAGCCCTGGGAACGGAGCCCGTCCCGGGAGCCCGCAGTATGCGCGGGTCTGACGCGGCCCAACCAGTCTTGCGGAGGCCCCTGAGGTGGCAGCAGTTGCGGAGGTGTGATGGGGTGGGGTAGGGAATAAGCTGCGCGGTGGATAGGAGATGACTAGCACCCTGGCTCCTTGGGCCCTACCGCGCGAGCCCCAAAAGTCTGTTTTGGAGCCCCAGCTTTCGCGATCAGGACGCTTTCTTTGCTCCGCTATTTAGATGCATCTTCGCAACAGGCACACATTTTATAGGAAACTGAGGCCTAGGGCAACACAGCTGTTAGGTGTAATTGTTATAATGTGGAAGTGAGGTGCTGAGGTCTTGCAGCCTTAGTCCCCTCTCAAAGCCTTCGGTGAGATGGAGCGGTGGAAGGGAAAGAGCCAATGTTCAGTAAGGACCCGCTATTATTGTTGTTGCTGTGTGGCCTCTTTTTGCAGCTAGCTAGTGGTACCAGGTTAAGTCTGTCTGGTAAATCAAAGCCGACTGGTGCACAATGGGAGACCGCTTCCCACACTGAGACCATCTCTGTGTATTCTGTCCCCATGTCTACGGAAGGCCGCACACAACCCAGCTGTACCAGCACGTGCCAGAGACCCGGTGGCCCATCGTGTACTCACCGCGCTACAATATAACCTTTATGGGCCTGGAGAAGCTGCATCCTTTTGACGCTGGAAAATGGGGCAAGGTGATCAGCTTCCTAAAAGGTATGGAAGGCCCACCTTGGACCCTGCATCTGTTTCCTTTACCTTCCACCATTGCCTTTCCCTAACACAAGCTTCAGATACCCCTGCCTCCAGCCTCAGCCCTCAGACTGCCTTCCACCCATGCCGTGAAAAGGGACTTTCCAACCCAAACTTCTAAGCATATGTCCGTGTCTCAAACCTTCCCTAGCTCCCCATCGCTCTGGACCTAAGTTTTGTGTCTTCCCCTGGAAGTCCAGTAGAAAGGGAGCTAATTAATGATGGACACAGGAAGTTGAAGTTTGGAGGAATCCAATGTCTATCCACCACAAGATCAGAGAGTCCAAGAAGAAGAGAACTCTTGCTCTAACTCCATTGATTACAAATGGAAGAAATTGGGTCCCAGAAAATTTAGGAAACATGCTCACAGTCACCTTGCTACTAAGTAGCAGGTATCCGAAACTCAGAGTTCCAGGTTCCTACCTTTCATAGCTCATCTCACTGGGCAAGGTCAAGCATGCACTGTTTGAACTGTGGTGTGGGAAATCCAGGCATCACAGTAGGCTAGTGCCAGGATATTATTGTTCCCTCTGCATCAAGAGTGCTTTAACTGAGGGAAGTAGGAAGTGTTACGGAAATGTTGCCTGGTGTAGGATGGCTCAGTTCTTCTGATCACACCATGGAGAAAAATTTGGCGTGAAAACTCCGCATTATCATTTGGGGGCTAGCCCATCTTAAACACTAAGCCCATCTCCCTTTTTAACAAATCCAGAGCAAGCCTGAGGCTCTGCACCTTGCAGAAAATAGAGTCAAGTTGGAGATTAATAACACTGGTGTATATATATATATATATATATATATATATATATATATATAATTTTTTTTATTTCTGGCTAGCTTCTATTCATGGCAAGTGATACTTATTTTCAGTCTGCAGTAGTGATTAGAGTGAGTATTCACAGAAATATTAAGTTGAAAAGAATACAAGTTGTGTGCAGCTGTGCAAGAACTCTGGCAAAGTGAGCAGAGCCAGCCTGCCCTCACCTTGTTGTTCTCTGGCCTTCCTGAATATGGTCCTTCATGCTCTGCTTCCAGTCTGAGTTACTCCTCTCATTTCCCCTTCTTGGGCTCTGGCTCTGGTATCACCTAGTTCCTTGTTTCCCTCATCTGGAGCCAACAGTCCTCATGAGTTTTCTCCTTTCTCCTATGAGGATGTAGGTAGAAAGGGGGCAAGGGTCATATGGTGAAGGGCCTTGGGTGCCTCCAAGAAAAGAGCTGGCCCTTTGCCTGAAGACACTGGGGAGCCATAAAATGTTCTGGGGGTGCGTTAGGAGGAATACCTACTGTTTGTGGAACTACCCTGTTTCCCCGAAAATAAGACAGTGTCTTATATTAATTTTTTCTCCCAAAGTTGCACTAGGTCTTATTTTCAGGGGATGTCTTATCTTTCCATGCGCTAGGTCTTATTTTTGGAGGATGTCTTATTTTCGGGGAAACACGGTATATGTGAGAAATATATGTAACTAGTTGGTTTCTGCCAGGGTTGGTTTCTAAGGGTAACACTTTAAAACAGATCCCCTAGATTCTGACCTTGGTGTCCCTTTGATTTCCCTAGAACCCAGAGAATCATGAGCCTGTTCTCACTGTGCTCTAGAGCATTTCATCTCTTGACCTCAGTTTCTTCCTTTGAAAAATGGAACAAATCTTATCTGGTGTATGTGAGGGGTAATGAAATAATGCAGTGTTTTCTAAACATTGATCATTTACAAACCACTCCTGGGACCTTGCCATCTCTTCATACCACCTGTTCCATTTTTAATTCATATTTTTTATTGACTTAGCCTTCATTTTTAAAAACTTAAATAAACTTGTTTTAAAAGGAAACATGTTATCTAAATGGGAAAAGCTGGTTTCACTTGCCATAAATAGAAAGTCATGGGAAATATAAATGCATTGAAAACAAGAGTATAATTTGCTTCAGGCTGCTGACAACTGTTGCTGCAGGTTGTGAGTGCTTTTTGGGGGTTAAAAAGGGAGATGATCATGAATCAGGAAGGGATTAAAGAGAGGCCACACCACACTGAGCCTCCCAGGATGCCATCAGAAGTTAGGGGGAGAATTGATCAAAGAACTTTTCTCACCTTGAGAGTCAACATCATTGACCCAGGTGTCATCTGCCTCTGAAAGTTTTCCAGACACACCCGAGCTCACCTTGTGGCTATCAGTGGCTTGGAAAGGATCTTTGTGTAAACAATATCTGAAGTCCCCTGGCCTATGGTGGCCGTTGTTCACACTGGCCTGGGAGGCGGCCTGTTGACAGAATGCCCATAAACCAGCAATGCCACCTTCCCTTGGGGCAGGGCTGACAGAGGTCAGCCTGTGGGAGGGACTGGGCTGAGCCTTCCTAGCAGGGAAGTATGGTGCCCACTTTGTGGTTTCAGAAGAGAAGCTTCTGTCTGACGGCATGATGGTAGAGGCACAGGAAGCCTCAGAGGAGGACCTGCTGGTGGTGCACACGAGACGTTATCTCAACGAGCTGAAGGTACAAGGCCAAGGGCCAGAAGGGCTGCCTGCCAGGAGGAGTGGCCAGGGGAGGGCAGCTCAGCCTGGGAAAGCACAGCCTAAACGGGATCAATTCCTGTCCATAGTACAGGGGAAGCATGTGAGTCTGTGGTCCCAAGAAGAGCAAGGTGTCATCAGGGATGGCTAGACTGCTCCAGGGGTTATGAGCTTTCACTCTCTGGAATTGTGAAAGCAGGGATGTCCACTTGGTGGAGAGTGAAACTTCACAGAGATTGGGGTTTCTACATTAATGACTTTTGATCTGTGCTCTATGAACAGGCTGCATTGACCTGCTGAGATGATGGACAGGGTAGCCCAGCCCTGTCCCTATCCAATCCAAGCTGTTCTATTTGGCCTATTTTTATATTGGATTTAAATTTAAGATTTTGTTCTGAGAACTTGTACTGCTAAAAACTTGTTGAAAACTGTTGTGCTAAAAATGAGTTTGACACCCCCAGGGCACAGCAGGGAACATACCTGGTTGTGCAGGTGGTAGTGTATGGGTGAATTGGAAGCTGTGACCCTTCCCAAGTGGGTGGCTGCTACCCAGCCCCACTATAGGCCCAGCATGGCCAGAGTACTGGGCTTTGAAGCAAAGCAAGAAATCCAGATTATTAAGTGACAGTTCCTGATTTCTTAATGTGTTTACTCATTCAAGATTTTAAAATCCCACCTACAGGCTCTGCTCATGACCTCCTTCTAGAGGACCTACAGCTGTTGTTAGTGCTGAGGTTCTGAGGTGGAGGCAGTTAGGCAGTCCCCTTTGTGGGAGCAGAGGGGAGGGGTAGGCAGGGGTTTGCATCCAAACTTGGTGCTGTTAGCCTGCCCTGGTGAGGTCAGGGATGTAATAGGTTCTCTGCCCCCAGGAGTGTGGAAGCTCTATACACCTGAAACTTATATAACATTATTAGCCAATGCCACCCCAATAAATTAAATAAAGTGTTGTGTTTTTTTTAAGAAGGATTTATTTTATACTGAGAGTCATAGTAGAGGTCACCAGGCTCTTCCCTTCCATAGGTGGGAAAGCTTAGGCCCAGAAAGAGGATACACCTTGGCTATGAAGGGGAAAAAAATAGAGGGCCCCTGGATGGAAGTAAGCTCATTTAGAATGATCAGGGAGGGTTTCACAGAGGAGGTGAAGTTTGAGCTGAGACTAAATAGTAAGGAGTAGATGACAAAGGAGTAGATGGAGCTTTGAAGAAAGAATGCTCCAGAGCCTCAGACTGGGAGTTGGAAGAAGGGACTTGGCCTCCTGCAGCAGGAGAAGGGTGATTGATTAACTAAGTTGAAGGGACTGAGATATTGAGAAGGCATGTGGAGTGTTCAGGGAGGCCAGCAGCACCAGACTACACAGGGTTTTGTAGGCTGTGAGAAGAGTTTTGGTTCTGTTCCAGGTGCTATAGAAGCGTGATACAGTGTGCTGCGCTCTTCACACTCAGGTGAGACACATGTCCACTTCAGGCATTGTCTGGCATCTCAGTGTTGCTGCATCGAAATATCCCAATCACCCTGCAGACATATGCATTTTTCTCTTCTCTTTTCTCTGCTGTGAACACTTGAAGAGTTCATGCAGGTTTCTCAGGGCTGCTCTTCCTTGGCTGATCTGTGTGTGCAGTGGAACATAACCCTCTCCCCTGCCCCACCTCCACTCTGCGTCCTCCCTTTCCCCCCACCCACCCCACGTTCCGGAATTCATGCCTGTCCCTGCACTGGTGTGGCCTTAATAAACAGGGCATTGAAGGAGATGCTGTAATCTGATGTTTGACAGGTGATATCCTTTCAGGAAAGCAAATGTCTATTGAGCACCTACTGTGTACAAGGCCCAGAGGTGGCCCCACTGAGGGTAGTGGTTGGGTTGGGCCAGTGCAGGCTCTTGCCTCCTACTAACCCCAGTGACAGTGTGCCATGGGATGTGTCATGCAGATTTGACATCTCGTCCTTGTGCATCCCGAGCTGGGCAATGCCCAGGACATGTATATGAAGCAGGTATTTAGTGAACATCATACTCTGTTCTAGATTCAGGGAGACAAGATGAAACAAAGGAGATAAGATCTTTTTTTGGAGCTGGCATTTAGGTGGGAGTCAGATAATGTCACAAAAATCAAATAAATTATATAGGATGGTAGAAGGCACTCAGTGTACTGCAGGAAATGGGGTGAGGAAGACCACAGTTTGCAATGGGGGATCTCAGAGGATCTTACTGATGTGATCATGAACTGAGGGCATTGAGGGAGTAGGCATGGGGACATCCAGGAGGACATTCCAAGCAGAAGAATGAGCAAGTGTAAAAGCCATGAGGCAGTGGTATCTCCAGTATGTTGCAGCCACAACAAAGAAGGCAATGTGGCTGGATTGGAGGGGATGAAGAGAGGCTGGTAGGAGGTCAGGTCGGAAGAGGATAGGGCCAGACCACCCGTTGCTGTGGCTTTGCTCTGAGAGAGGTGGGAGCCATGGGTGTATTAAGCAGAGGGACATGACCTGATTAGGTTTTAACCTAGTTGTTTGGAAACTATGGTAAGAATAGACTGTCAAGACAGAAGCAGGAAGACCAGTAAGGAAGGAGGTTGTGCAGTTGGGAGAGATCCTGGGCTCTAAGAGGCAAGTAGCAGTTGAACAAAGTATTCTGTTGTTCAGATGAGTAGGTGCATATGAGAGAAAGAAGGCAAGGATGCCTCAGAAACTTTGACCTGAGCCCCAGAAAGCTGGGATGTGAATTGGGCCTCGTCACTGCCCTTAAAGCATTACAATCCTGTAGGAGAAAAGGAAGCACCATTTTCAGAAACATAACATCAGAAGGCAGATGTCCCAGGAAAGTCTCAGGGGAAATGGGACCCCTCAGGGTCTCTGCTTCTCTCTTATATTTTCTTCTCTCCCTTTTTTTATTGTAAAGTTCACATGATATAAAGTTAATCATTAACCATTTTAAAGTATAAAATTTAGTAGCATTTAGTAAATTTACAATGTGGTATAACCATCACCTCTATTTAGTTCAAAAACATATTCATCACCCCAAAAGAAACCCTTCCACACTAAGCAGCTGCTCCCATTCCTTTCTTCCCCTCCCCCTTGTAGGGGTACCACCAATATGGTTTTGCCTTTTATGATAGTTTTACATAAGTATACCTGGAATCATAGAATATGTCACCTCCTGTGTCTGACTTCTTTCACTGAGCACAGTGTAAAGAATCATCTACGTTTCAGCATGCATCAGTTTTTCATTCCTTATTAAAACTGAATAATATTCCATTGTGTGGATATACCACATTTTGTTTATGTATCAGATGAGTTTTTCCAGCTTTTGATCTTTGTACATAGTGTTGTTCTGAACATAAATACAAGTATTCATTTGAGAACCTATTTTAAATTATTTTAAAATTCCAGCTAGCAGTGGAATTGCTGAATTATATGGTAATTATTTTTAACTTTTTGAGGAATCACCAAAATGATTCCCACAGCAGCTACACATTTTACATTCCTTTTTAAAAAAAAATTATTGATTTTTAGAGTGAAAGAGGAAGAGGGGGAGAAATATCGATTTGTTGTGTAGTGACAGGGATTGAACCTACAACCTTGCATATTGGGACAATGCTCTAATCTCTAACACTAGCAAAGGGGTCCATCTTCTGTACACCCTCACCAACACTTATTTTCTGTGTTTTTTTTTTAATTTTTTTTTTATTGTGGCTAATTTAGTGGATGTTATGTGTTATCTTATTGTGGTTATAATTTGCATTTCCATAATGGTTAATAACATTAAGTATCTCTTCATGTGCTTTTTATCCACTTATATGGCTTCTTTGAAGAAATGCCTATTCACTTGTGTTGAATTGTAGTTCTTTATATGTTCTGAATATTATGTGATTTGCAAATAATATTTTTGTTCATCCTGTGGGTTGTCTTTTCACTCTTTTGGTAATGTCCTTTGATGCACAAAATGTTTAAATTTTGCTAAAATTCAATTACTGTATGTTTTTCTTTTGTTGGTTGCTTTTGGTGTCTAAGACTGTGTTGCCAAACCCATGGTCATGAAGATTTTACCCTTGTGTTTTCTTCTAAGAGTGTTATAGTTTTAGCTTATATTTAGGTCTTGGATCCATTTTGAGTTAATTTTTGTATATGGTGTGAGATATGCATCCAACTTCATTCTTCTACATGTGGATATCCAGTTTTCCCAGAACCATTTCTTAAAGAGACTGTTCTTTCTCTGTTGACTAGTTTTAGCTTCTTGTAGATAACCAATAACCAGTTGGCTGTAGACATATGGATTTATTTCTGGACTGTCAGTTCTATGCAATTGATCTATATGTCTATCCTATGCAATACCATAATCTTATGTTTTGATTACTAAGTTTTGTAATACGTTTTGAAATTGGGAATTGTGAGTCCTTCAACTATGTTTTTCAATATTGATGTTTAGGTTGCCTTGAGATTCCATATGAACTACAGGATCAGCTTCTCTGTTTCTGCAAAAAGAGCCATTGAGATTTTGATAAGGGTTGTATTGAATCTGTAGATAAATTTGGAGATAGTTGCTATATTTACAATATTAGGTCAATCCATGAACACAGGATATTTTTCAATTTATTTAGGTCTTTTTTCATCAACAATGTTCTATAATTTTTAGGGTATGTCTTGGTTCTTCTTGGTTCAATTAATTCCAAGTATTTTAAATTTTGATGTTATTGTAAATGGAATTGCTTTTTTAATTTTCTTTTTGGATTTTGTTGTTTAGTGTATAGAAATATAACTAATTTTTGTGTGATCTTATATCCTGTACTTTGTTGAATTTATTTATTAGGTTTAATTGGGGGGTTGTGTTGGTTCTTTAGGATCTCCTAAAATATAACATCATGCCATCTGTGAATGGGGAGAAGTTTCACTCTCCTTTCCAATTTAGAGGCATTTTATATTTTATTTTCTAACTAAAGGCCTGGTGCATGAAATTCATACATGGGTAGAATCCCTAGGCCTGGCGAGTAA